AGGGAGCCCGATGCGGGGCTCGATCCCAGGACCCTGGGATCATGACCTGAGCCGAAGGCAGACGCTTAACGACTGAGCCACTCAGGTGCCCCTGTCACTGGAGAATTCTATGAAGTGTTTAGAGAGGAATGAAAACCAGTTCTATACAGTGTCTTTCAGGAAATAGAAGAGGAGAGGGATGTTACCAGGTGGGGAAACTGGACAAAGGGTACACAGAAACTCTTTATTTTTTACAATTGCATATGAACCTACCATCATCGAAAAATAAAGTTTAATTAAAAAGGGGGGGGGGCGCCTAGGTGGTGCAGTCAGTTAAGCAACCAACTCTTGGTTTCAGCTGAGGTCATGATCTCAGGGTCATGAGATCGAGCCCACGTCAGCCTCCTCGCTCAGCTGGAGTCTGCTTGAGATTTTTCTCTCCCTCTCCCTCTGCCCCTCCTGCTTGTGCACTCTCTCTCTCTCAAATCTTAAAGATAAACAGAAAAAAAGTTATTTTCTGCAGAAGAACAAAGGTAAGAATGACAACAGATTTCCTTTTGGAAATACAAGCCCAAAGACAGTAGAGAAATACCTTTAAAATATTAAAAGCAACAACGACAACAAGTTAGGCTGTTTGATTCCAGAGCCTGTACTCTCAGCCATTTCTCTATGCTGCATCCTAAAGATAATAAAAACAGAGATGGATGGAGCAATTACATATACCACTTTCTCCTTTTGTGTGCCTGGGGAGTTAGAATGGTACGCCCATCCTTTGAAAAGAAGATAAACAACAACTATTCCTAGTCCTGGATTTGTTTCTTGTTTCTGTTGTTTCCTTTACTTCATCAATCTTTTAAAAGTAAAATTGGTTAATAAATCATGTTTGCTGTCAAATAAGCTTATGTTCAAGAAGAGAATAAAGTAAATATAGAGGTAACTGTAATACAGGCAAATTTGGCTAAATGTCATAAAGTAGAAATTCAGACAAAGCCTTTGGGAAATTTAGAGCAAGGATTGAGAGTACAACAAATTACGGGTATCAAGGAAGATTGCTTGTGAATCTGATTGAGAGTGGAGGAAGAGGGAAGAGCTGAGGATGTCCGAGATCTGTGTCCTGATGACTGGGCCGAGAGCAGTGTCATCGTGGTGGTTAAATAGAAGTTCTTGGATAGCACAGGTTTTGTGATTATTTGCTTGTCGGCTAGGTTCTGTAATGTATCCTTACTACCTAGAACAGTGCTGGGTACATAATAAGTACTCAGTATTTGTTACATGAATGAGTAAACAGAGAAATTAGAAGGCAGCCATCACCAGATTTTGTAAGAATGATTTGATGGTGAGCTCTAGTTGGAGAGTTATAAATGTGGAATCTAATCCTCACTACACCATTAGCCAGGTCTGACCATAGTTTCAGCTACCACTCCAGCTGTCACACAGATGGCTCTCAAAACTACTGGAGAGAGCAAAAATATAGGAAACATGCTGATGAAGAACATTAGCTGTCTGACCCCATATGTAAAATGAAGAGGACAAGAGAAATGATTGTTAGTAAGTGCAATTTTATGTCTAGTGCACTTAGCTCAGCATTTGGTCCATTGTACTTAATACAGGGCACCATTGTCTGAACTTGAGTTACACATGGGCTCCTGACCTAGATGAGCCACCACACCTCTAATATAGCACATTAAAACTGTGTTTGAGTTACCTCATGCAAAAAGCTAAATGGTATTTTAAAGATATCCAGCCTAAGACCTTCATTTTAATTTGTGCCAAAGTGAAAAAGTAACTTGCACAAAGTCACACAGCTAGCTGAAGGAAACAAAATATGGAGGGGAAAAAGGTATTCAGGGACCAGATATGGGGCTAATGTTTACATGTAAAGAGTGGGAGGAAAAATAGGAGAGAGACACTAATTACTTGGGCTTGACACTGACTTTTACAGCTGCCTCCTATAATGAATTTTATTTTCTGGAAAAAAATGATATTTGCCTGCTAGATAGCTCTACCTTTCCCATTGACATCTTTATTTCAACATGTCTAAAACCAAACTGGAATCACTACATGTTAAAACTGAAAAAGAGTTTTGAGGGTTTCCATTCTAAACTCTCATTTTACAGAAGAGGAAAACATTCTGTACTGGGGTGGAGATCTCACCCTTCTTAGATTCATTTATAGCAACATGAGCCATCATTCATCTCTTGGGTCACTTTTGCCTAGGTTGCAGAGCATTACTTAAAGTCCTTTTGGCTTAGAGTGATCCTTCTAAGCTCATCCTGGCTAGTTTTTAAGAGCAGTGGGTTTTTGTTTTTTCATTTTTCTCTTTTTATTTTTTTTCTTCAAACAGCTGAATCCTTTAAGTTGAATCATATGAAGAAACCCCATATGTAAAAAGAAACTAACAAGAGGAGGTGCCCTGGTTAGCTAAGATATGGTGGTGGTTGGGGAGATCAGGAAAGGGAAAGGAAGAATTTTACTCTGATAACTTGGCGCTAGGGGTGAGGGTCCTCCGGAGTGCCCCTGAGGTTAGGAAGCAGTTTGAAACTCACTGATTTGGAGGCATGTGGGATCCGGGAGTGGTGGTTGGCACGAATGAGAAGGTTGGTGGTGTTTCTCCTCATCAAGTTCCCCCGTGACTTCCACGTACCCTGGAGTAATGATTTTTAGTTCTTTTTGAATCTAAGAAGTAAGAATGAGGCCATCAGTGCAATTAGGGTCTTAATAAACTCCCAGCTATCATTTAAAAACTCTCATCAGTCACATTTGTAGTTATTTACCCAGACAAGCAGCTTTTTTGTGAATTAAGTGGCTTGGAATAGATAATTTTAATAGTATAGACATAGCCCAAGAATTATTGTCACATGAGGAAAAGCTTAGCAGCAATCAGCATATTGATCTTGCATAAACCGCTATAATGTTCTGATGAATTGTAAAATACTTGACACATTTTTAATTGTTTTTCTAGTATTATTTATAATTTTGGATTTTAGTCAGCAACTGATGAAGCCCTGTTTTAGACACCATGGGGAGATAGAAGGAAAATAGGCCAAGGTCCTTGCCCTCACATTTGAGTCATGCTGAGTGCAGAATGAAGAACGTGACATTTTAGGTTTTTTTCCTTTGTACTTGATTTCACCACCTGAGCTTTCTTTTTTATATTGTGTAATTTTTAATTTTAATTTACTGACTTGTACAAAAGCATATTCACAACTGAAAATTCAATAATTTAAGGTTCTGTGCTTTCTTTCAAATTATTATTAGATTGCAAGCCTGGAGAAAGATAAAGAAGAACTACTTAATCAACTGCTTAAGGTTGATCCCCCAGGAGAAAGCAAACGAACGGAGCTACTTGCTCGAGAGAATGTCCATTTGTGTCAGAAATTAAAAGGTTTAGAGGCTGAAGTAGCAGAATTAAGGGCTGAAAAAGAGAATTCTGGTGCTCAGGTAGAAAATGCCCAAAGAATTCAGGTGCGGCAGTTGGCTGAGATGCAGGCTACAGTCAGATCCCTGGAGGTAAGATTTTAATTGCTTCCCAGTAGAGTATGGCATGCTTTTTTAAAAGTGCAATTGACAAGCCTTTGATTTTTAGACCATAAATGTATGCTCACCAATCTAATGCTGATGTATTTGAGAGTCCCAAGAGTATATATATTCTTTTTGTAAAGAAGGAAGCTATTGATTCATAAGCAGTAGCTATGCTGCCATATTTACAAAGGGATTATTTATTCTTTGGGAGAATGAATTAACCCTTGAAGTGCCAGAAAGTAGAATATGCCAAATTTTCAAAATTTGAGCTCTGAGGATTAAAGTCCTCTCAAACCAGAAAAAACAGTTTCTTCCTAGATAGTTATTTCCTTTCATGGGATTCAGGATATTAAAATCATAAATCTTGTTTAAATAAAAATACCATACTTTTATATCTTATGATAGTTTCTTGCTGGAGTAATACAATTCAACTTGGTGCTAATGTATATAAGCCTTTAGTGAAATATCTCCCTGAGTTCATTAGAGAAAGATAAGAGCTGGGAGAGGTAGGCTGGTACTCCTAGAGGTATTCTCTGAAAATTCTTGGTTTCCATTGTTGGAGAGGAAAACCTTTTTCTTTATCCTCCTAGGTTCACAGGTTGGAAGTTGTGAATTAAACTGACAAAAGACAGATTAACAAGAGAAAAAATATTTATTTGTGTTTGTGTACAGGAGTTCACAGAAAAATGTGGCTACAAGTGGTAGTTAGAATTTGGGGCTTACATATCACCTTAATAGAGAAAGGAGAGGGGGAGAAAGGGCACTTACAGGAACACAAATGACTTTTAGGAAAGATAAATGGGCCTTTAGGAAAATAGATGGGAGATATGACAGTTTTGTGACAATGTGTAGGTGATTTCTTATCCTGGTACTGATTTCTTCCTTGATAGGAGTCAGTCTTCCCTGGCTATGAAACCCCAGGGGAGGGGATTTATAATTCTTTTTGGAGGCTCTGCTTTTTGGCAGCTAAGAGAAGTTCAGGGAAAAACCTTTTCCTGTGTCTATTGAATCAAATGCCTTCAGCTCAAAATAATTTTTATGCCACTGTGGCATATTCTGCATCCCTTAACCATCTTGTTTAGGTGTGCTTACTTTTCCTAGTTCTTAGTGTCTAACACGTAACAGATATACCAGTTTAATTATTTTGATTTATTTTGAGCAATCCAGAGAGAGAGAAAGAAGTGTGTGTGTGTGTGTGTGTGTGTGTGTGTGTGTTAGAATAGTTGTGAAATGATTAGAGTTGTAGGGAAATTAGTGGGCACCTAGCAAAATAATGATTTTTTTTTTTTTAGCCAACAGACTGGGGTATAGGGAGCACATTGATATGTTTTGAAGCATAGAAGTCACCTTTTTATTTTTGGATGAAGCCTTTGACAGTATTTACTGGTTTCCTGAAGTAAAGTTGTATCATTGGACCTTAGACATGAGGCAGTTCAGAATGGTACTGTTACGTTGCTACCCTCCCATCCTTAATGTATTAATAGTGACAGAATAAGTGGGATGAATGCAGTTGAATATAGCATATGATCCCAATGCAAAGCTTTTCATTGAGGTCATTTAGAGTGATGATTTTCAGGACAGGTTGAATGATTACAAAAGGTGGGAGGTTCCTTTGTGACATTTTCAAAATAGCCTGTAGTTAATTTTATCATTTGTCAGATGAAATGAAAAGAAGCATTCCTTTCTTTGATTTTTTTGGCCGTCATTGTGCCCAAAGAGTATCATTTTGTATGTGAGGAAAATAGCTTTTTTCTGAATTATTTGTTGAATATATTCTTAATCATATTTAAGATATATAGGAAATGAGATCTTATAAAACTGTACTTATTCTGAAATGTCAAACATTTTAATTTTAACTATTTTGAGTAGAAATTTATTTTTAAAAAGCATTTAGTTTTCACTTTCTAATGAAAGAGTACTATGAGTGTTACCAACCAGAAATTTTCTCGACAATTTAAAGACTTAAGAAATCTTTATGATATGTTGGGTTCAAGAGCTATTGAGCTCTTTGTTCATACTTCCAGAGTCTCCAGATTAGTTGAGGATTTTGAATTTTTAAATCTCTTGTTTTTATTTTTTAATCTGCCTTGATTTTCACATTTTTAGTTCTCACTTATTATTACAAATGAACCCTTTCTTCTACTTTCTATTATACTTTTGTATTTCTCTTATGCATTGAAACCCCCAAATATGTTTGCTTCAAATTGTGTCAACAATAAGAGTAAATAGGTATCAAATGAGTGCATTAGGTACTCTCTTTCATGAGAGAAGTGTATGTGTTTTGTTTTGTTGGTGGCTGTTGATATGTCGTTTGTCCAGAGACTGTTGTTGCATATTTCTTGGAGCAAATATCTTTCGTTTGAATTCTACCAGTTACTTTGAGAAAACTCTTGTTGCTTTGGTACATGTTAATATTGTTGAGGTTTTGAATAATTTGGAGTAGTATGATTATACATATATTTAAAATAGTGCTTATTTTTATATAATTATAAAAATTATGAATAAAAATTTTTTTTTTAATACAAGGCTGAAAAGCAGTCAGCTAAACTACAGGCTGAACGCTTGGAAAAAGAGCTACAATCAAGCAGTGAACAAAATACTGTTCTAATCAGTAAATTGCATAAAGCTGAGCGGGAAATAAATACGTTGACCAGTAAAGTAAGTCATTTTAATGTTTCTACTTCATTCTTTAGAATGCTTGATATTGCATAATGACAAATTTTGTATTCAAATTGTTTACTTCTCTATATTGAAATCTTTATCCTATCATTCTGCCTTCCAAATATATATAGAAACTGATGAGTTTTTATTGCCTTTACTGTGACTACTCTTGTCCAAGCCATGATTTCTCTAGGTTCAATTTTTACAGTAGCCTCCTAACTCTCTACCTATTCAGAGCTCTGCATGATCTGGCCTCTGCAGTCTTTCCAGAGCCATCACAGTCCATTTTCCCTCCTGTTCACTTTGCTTCAGCCTTACTGGCCTTCTTCTCACTCTTACTTAAATCTGTCCTAGGGCCTTTGCACTTGCCTGCTGACATGGTCTTCCCTCAGATCCATATAGCTTGCTTTCTTGCCTCTTTTTTCAGAGGCCTTCCTTGTTTACACATATAAAATACCATCTTCCCTCTTCCTGCCTCACTGTCTGTCTTCTTTACCTGCTTTATTTTTCTTCATAGCTCTTAACAGCATTTGATATATTTATATTTGTTTATTTTTTGTCTCTTCTCTTCTCTCCCACCCCCTTTCCTTCAACCAAATAGAAGCTTTTTTTTTTTAAATAAATTATGTTTTATTAGATAATGACAGCTATTTTTTTTTATTCTTATGTTAATCCCCATACATTACATCATTAGTAACCAAATAGAAGCTTTAAGAACAGGGACATTGCTTTTATTACTCCTTGTACCTCCGTCTCCTGCAACAGTGCTGACACACAACAGGCACTCTATAAATACTTGTTAAATGAGTATTTTAATAACAGCAGCATGGGGTGCATTTATGTTATTTTTATGTTATTTTTTAAAAGATTTTTTTTTTTTTATTTATTTGAGAGAGAGAGAATGAGAGACAGAGAGCACGAGAGGGAAGAGGGTCAGAGGGAGAAGCAGACTCCCCGCCGAGCCGGGAGCCCGACGTGGGACTCGATCCTGGGACTCCAGGATCATGACCTGAGCCGAAGGCAGTTGCTTAACCAACTGAGCCACCCAGGCGCCCCTATGTTATTTTTTGAAAGATTATTTATTTTAGAGAGAGAGAGTGTGTGTGAGAAAGAGGAGGGGAGGGCAGAGGGAGAGAGAGAATCTCCAGCAGACTCCCCGCTGAGCATGGAGCCCGACACAGGGCTCGATCCCAGGATCCCCAAGATCACGATCTGAGCTGAAATCCAGAGCCATCAACTTAACTGACTAAGCTACCCAAGTGCTCCTACGTTATTTTTAAAAGAATATATATAATGGTGTGCACATCTTTTATATACCAAGTTTTCTCAGGAACTTACAGTTTTTCCCCTTCACATGCTCTATATATAAGGAATCTGGTAACCAGAAATAGAGCAATGATAAAAGTATTCTGTAGAAAACTGTAGTGAATAACAATATCCTCTCTGGAGTCAAGACAGACTAGATTCAAATTCCATTTATTTTCCTTAGTAGCTGTGAGACCTTGAGCAATTTACTTTCTCTCTGAAAATTTTAGTGTTTTTCTTTATAAGCAGACTAATATCTACCTTATAGATTATGGCAAAATTAAATGCAATATTATGCATAAAGCACTTTGCATAAGGTCTAGTAGATAATTACCCAAATATTAGCTATTACTAATGGTAGTACTTGGGGGCATCTTCAAGATCTTGGAAATAAGTTTGGTTTCTGAATCAGTGGAATCAATTATTTTCCATCAGAGCAGAGTTATGTAAAATTACCTTGAAAAACAAAATGGCTCCCAGACCAGAAGGAACTTACTGTAGCATAGTAGAAATGAACTTATCTAAAGGAGTAATGTAGTCATCATAAATTCCTTGGCCAAGGAATTACTGGAGAGGACTTAGGCAGTGTTCATGACAGAGAGAAGATAGAGTTTTAGTCAGTAGAATGTAAGTATTCTGTCCCATTGGAGAGATAATTCTTACTGTGGGAAGGAATACACCAATCTGTTTTTTGTTTTTTTTTTAAAGATTTTATTTATTTATTTGAGAGAGAGAATGAGA